AGAGCAACTGACGTATGATAGGGTAAACAAATATGGAGTTATATTAGAAATCTTCAACAGCTATGCAATCAAAATTCAAAGGTTCATCATAGCATATTAATTAAGAATGTAGAGCAAGTTTACTTAGTCAATATATAACAAGTACCGTTATGGCTATCATCTACTATTATATGGAATTTTTAACCAATTCAACTAGGAATTTTAAGTACAGTAAGGTAAACTTGTATAGCTATAATATATACACATGTACATTAGAACTGTGTCTTTTCCTTCAACCTCACTGGAGTAATGCATACTTTAGAATAATAACTTGCATTTGAAATCTTTCATGGTCATTACAGCATGTAATAGCCAAAGTTTTTTTTTCACAACTTACTAATATCACAGCACGAGAATTAGAAATCTATAATGCACAAGGTCCTTTTCCTAAATCACTGTGTCATTCACGAGTATAGGATCTAAGCATTCAAGAATATTCCTAGTTCAAATTTGGCACATCGCTCGGAATATGAATTTTATCCATGCATACACAAAATAGAGATCATTCTCCATTAGTTTCAGCTATAATTAATTACGGTCACAATTCATATTTGAGTATGCAATTAGGGTTTATTTATAGAGGAGATGATTTATTTATTAAAATTGATAAGTCATTATAAAATGAGCACAAGTAGCTACATGCACAAACATAAAATGTCATATAACACATTGGAATTGAGTCATTATTTAATTAATTACATAGAAACACAAATACTTCATAGATTTCAAAAGTACTAAAAACAGTGCACAGACAATTGAGTACTACAATGCATCGTTCAAAACTCCGGTTTGATAATGAATAATCAATATCATGAACTAACTCAAGTATATCAGATTCTAAAGATATTCAATTTCTGTTGTATATTCAAAATCATGTATGAACTATATTTACCACAACAACTCATATATCCACCAATCAAAGGGCATATCAAGATCTTTATTATTAGTTTATATATCACTTACTTCCCCTCTTCCACTTCCCTCTGGTACTTCTGTAACCTGGCCCTTAGCTCGTTTGTGGTCAACTGAAGATACATATTAGTCTTGTTAAAAGTGTTAAAATCTTGAATTGCAAAAGTTATAGCTTCTTTAGGAACAACTTTTAAAGCTACTATAAACCTCGCAAAGCATTGACCCATTAACTCACTGTGCATTTCCAAATAGTTTCGTGACTGAGACCTACTGTATCCAAAAAGCAAGTCGACAATTGTTTTGACTCCAAGACCGACGAAAATATGACATTTGCGACTTTGTGTTCTTTGTGATGCTCTTCTCTCTTGGTGAGATTCTCTTTCGGAAATATATTCTCACAGCGGCTTATTGCTTCAAAACCCATGTTAAAAAAAAAGAGAAAAGATACAATGTAATGATAAATAATTTTATGAATTATAATAAAAAAAAATCTCCAATATTACCAAACCCATGTTTAAAAAGAGAGAGAAAAGATGCAATGTATTGATAAATAATTTTATGAATTATAATAAAAATAAAAAAATCTCCAATATTACCTCAGACTACATACTCCAATTATCCTTTCATAGTATTCTTATAGTAAAAGGTGAAAGAATAATTCGCTATGTACTCATCACACGACTCTGTGACATTTCAAGTAGAAAACTCACTTCTTTTATAGTATTTTTTAATTCATTCATCTCAGTACACTAGTCAATGTGGGATTAATAAGAGATATAGAGGCAAAAACACTGAACTCTTCCCTTTATGTTGTGTCACTTGTCATTGTGGTGCTTTTTTTGGTCAACGACTAAAAGTCCTCTATTTGTAGAACCCTTGACACTCAGTCTCACACTGCATCAAAAGTTGCAGACAATCTAGTTTCAATTTTAGGTTTTTTATGGTTAGTCGATTGGAAAATGTTACTTTAGTAATTTTTAAAAACTTTTGGTCATCATGTGGAAGAATGAATATATTTCTTGTATTTTATGTTGCTATATGAATGTCATATCCATTGTCACAGATGGAGGAAGTCCTAATTATTATTATGTTTAAAAACTATGGAGCATTTGATGCAATGAGGAAAAGGTATAATCACAACTCAGTGGCCTTAGCTGGAAATGATGGTCCAACTGTAATAAATACTTTTGACACTATTCTTATCCTACACCATCATTTTACTTATACAATAATCATGACAAGTTCCATTTGCTGTTAATTTTCATGTGGAGGTTCAAATCCTGGACTACAGAGTGTACTCAAAGTACTATAGTTGCAAGTTTTCAACCTTCCTATAATTGGTGGTACTTCTTTTTTCTCCTTGTAATTAAGACTTAAAGAGTGACATTTAATGCATTAAGGGTGTTTTATATACAGGTCAATCTGAAGGCATTGCAAGCATCACAATTCACTATTTAAGAATTCTTCTTGAGATGGGTGATTTTGGACTTGTTTATATACGAAGCCAAACCTCTATGAGCAGAAGAGTTAACAATGAGAGCATAATTAGCCTATGGTTCTGGTCAATTGAACCCAACAAGAACTGTGAGTCTGGTTTGTTCTATGAGATTTATAACAGTATGATATATATACCAATAATATATAAAATAAATAATTAATATTTTTTTCTAACTAGAATTATTTATCAAAGTAGTTTTCTTTTGCAAAAATTTAGAATCTAAACACCTGAAAAATGAAACCACGAATGTGCCAGACATAACAATTGAAGCCATCTTCACATGGGTTCGGTGTTTTACAATTTAATATATAAACACTTAAAGTAATACTAGGTGATGTGACACTTTCACTTTTTGAATTATGCTTGAAACACAATATCTATCAACCAGAAATTAGAAAATAAGATTTGAAATTTGGTAATTGATAATTGGAATCAAATTAATGGGTACATATCAAAACTACGGGCCAAATGATTCAATTGTAAAAATCGAGATCAAATAGGTGAAATTTTAACACTAAACTAAAATTATATATATTGGTCATTTCGGGATTTTCTTTTGTAAATTTAAGGACATAAATACTGGGTGCTTATAATTTGAGGGATTTGATTACTTATTTTACTCTAGTACAAAACATTGTTACATACCATTCAAGCTTAAGTAAATTTAAATCCCACATATTAAGAAGAAAGGTCAATAGAATGGAAGGAAATATTAAATTTTAGTGTAATAAGATTAAATTGATGATTAAAATTTTTAATGAACTTGAACTAAATCAATTATATAAAAAGTCTATTATTAATTATTATGGTTGATATTTTATGCTATAATCTTATATAATAGTAATTTTTACTATTATTTAATATGAGCATATTACAACAAAACGAGTTAACTACAAAATTATTATGAAAGTTTTGAATAAAAATATTTGGATACAATTAATCATAACTAAACTAACACATCTTGATAATGTTAGTTTAATTTGGGTTGAAAATAGTTAAATATTTAATTAAATATAAAGTAATAAAAATACATAGGTTTCCTTTTTCTCAAAATTCAACAAATTGGCCTTCATCACTTCCAAATTTTAAAATTCTCTTTCATTAATTACCCACAAAATCAAGAAAGAATTATTAATCATCAAAATGGATTGTGTTCAATAAATTTCAACCAATAACAAAAAATTGAAAATAAGTGTAGCTAGCATCTTTTTAAAAAACTTACTTAATTTTGTTTTATTTTAGAAACTAATAACGCAGGATGAGAGAATTGTTTATTGCAGTTGTTTCAATTACTTCCTCTATTATTATTACTCTATGTGAGATGGACTGTACGGTGATAGCAAGTCATCAAAGTTAACAAGTCTCACTTTGTAACCTAACGCTTCCTCTTCTACTAAGGGATAATTAATTCTTCAAAATGTCAATTTTATCATTTCTATATTATTTTTTAAATGGTCAACAGAAAGAAAGTATTTTTTAAAATACTTTAAAAATTAGTTTCTGAAAAAGGATATACCGTAATTCATGTAAAAATGTCAATCTTTACTATAAAAAAAGATTGTAAATAAAAAATAGTAAATTTTTTTATCTTATTTTCTAATAGCAAATAAAGAGCAATGTTTATGAATTTAATCCACATTTAATTTTGATGACAAAAACTTCTCATTCTAAAACCATCTAATAGGAATGATAATCATCTTAAACAAAATAAATACAAACATAACGAAGGAAAGAATGAGATGCTTATAAGGGTAGATGAAAATTGTCCATTGCTTCAACGGATCACTTTACTTAAAACACATAAGGTAATAAAAAGAAAAGGTTTGAAGTACAAAAATTAGAAGACAAGCACAAATCTTCTAAGAGCACAAGAATCATGAAATGGCCCTATTGTATGGTCCAAATCCTTTGCAAGAAAAGCTGCAAAATGCCCTCTTTGATACCATACATATCTCACTATCGAATCATGGTCAATGCTGCAGAAGAAGAAGCATAATAAAGAACCTTTAACAGTGACTAAAGCAACTATAGACATGTTAGATTTCAGAAAATCATTTAACAAGAAAATCATGTAACGCAGACACAACTTATTATGCACACACCTCAGGCTCGGTAGGTTTGGCTTCTTCCGCTTTAATGTTGTCCTCACTTGCATATGATAGCATTAGCTTTTTAGTAGGTTCCAAGTATGTTAGTATGAACCAATAAAAGGAAACATGATCATGCTGTTAACTCGGAGTGACTCAGCTGAAGACACCACTCCTGACACAAGACTTTTGATCTTTCTTCATGATTATCAATCCTAGAGTATGCAATTTTATTTTTCTCTTTTCATTCTAATTTGATTTTTTTTTCAGAGTTTAAGAGGGTGCAAAGTGTGTAGAAGATAACTATTGCGATGATATTGCACAAGTGTACATCAACCATTCTTGTCTCTAGAACATCATTATTGAGCAACATATGGTACAATATTTATTATTTTCCCTTTGCAAAAGTCAAATGCATCTTATATCAAGTTTCAATCATTTCCATACCTCCATCCTCTGGCAAATCAGAGGTCCAGAGTGCCAGGTTGTCTCTCAAAAGCTGCATGATCAAAGTGCTCCTTGTGTGACTCTTCACTCAGGGTGTCCAACTCTGCAATTACCTCATCAAAAGCTTGTTTAGCCAAATGGCAGACCCTGTAAGTTTCAATAATGACATTCAGACAAAACCTAGCAACAAATGCACTCCAATGGATCATGCAGATTGAGAGAACCAATAACTTACCTTTCAGGAGAGTTCATTATCTCATAATAAAAGACAGAGAAATTGAGTGCAAGCCCAAGACGAATTGGATGTGTTGAGGAGAGATCTATGTTTGGAGTGGCTGAAGCAGCCTAATAATTACAACATAGGTGAAAATCAAATGACAATGTAATGCATAACATAAATAATTTATGAACTAGTTAAGTGCTGAAATACAAGAGATAGAAAAATACCTCATATCCTTTCAATGACTACTCAGCTGCCTCTTTTCTTTCTTGGTCAGTCTTGAACTCAGCACGATATCGAAAATAATCACCTTTCCTAGCTCAAAATAAGAATAAGGAAATCAGGAATACCAAAACAAAATGTGATAACAATAATAGATGTTGTACAGAATAATAACAAGCAGAATGTAAAGAAGAAGAAAAAAAATCCAATGACTCATTCATAACATTAGAGTCCCTATACGAGCCAAGAATTGCTCGAGCTAAGGGTTACTCTACCAATCGTAGACACCGAGAGATGAAAAATAGGTCATCAAATCATTATATACATATAGATTCTATGCTTCCCACTAGTCCTGATATATTTTTTCAGCTTTATTCAGAAAAGATAATTATAACTATTCAAAGAAAAAAAATACTCTGAGAAGAATATGATGATAAAGATAATGACTCAGAACTGAGAAATAATTGAATTAATCAAGTACATGCCAAGGAAGTATGGTAGCATAACTCACATCTTATAGTAGAAAACACTAGCTTCTGCTGATCCAGAGGAAGGAATCAGGTGTTGGTCTATGATAATCAGAATGTCACCACAAATCTTATTGGAGAGTTCTTCCTCAACTTTTGGCAATAACCTTGATCAGTTTAACATTGTTCTCATTTTTAAAGTAAATTCCAAAAATTGAATTTATTAAGGTAGTTCCGGAATTTCCAGAAGGTTCCATAAGATTTAATGTTCCGGAAACTTAATTCTAGAAACGACAAAGTATTTTTCAGAGTTATTAACATTCTGGAAACTTAATTTCGGAAGCACAAAATTGTCTGAAACTTCCGGAATTTAGTTTCCGAAGTTAAAAAAAATTAACTTTTAAAGATTTATATTTCAACATATAAATAATATTAATATATTATTTACATCCCATCCTTTCCAATTATTCAAACAATCCAAATGGCTCCTGCGGGGTTCAAACTGCCCCTCCAGCTCCGGCCTTGGCTCCGGATCACTTGCTGACTGTTGTACCATCTCATCCCGCTAATAATTTTTTTGGTTTTTTATTTTATTAAAGTTATTTTTTATACTAACAGATTTAAAAACCATCTCATATGTAGACTGTGAGGCCTCATCAAGAAGTACAGGACTTTTATTTTTATTATAATTTATATGAAGTTGTATCTTGAAATTTGAAAGTTGTTTCAGGTCGACTTCGAGGAGGAAGAGCCAAGCAACATCGCTTTCTGCTTGAGAGGAGCCAGTAAGCAATTCCATAACTATGCACAATAAAGTTGGCATAAACAAACTTCATATGTTGAATCAAGGTGAAGTAATTTATAGCAACATCCATTTACAAGTTCACAACCCAAACCACACAAGTATACATTGTTGCTCCGAGTATATCCCTCCCAGCAGTTCTTCCCTTCTCATCAAAGGCTTGAATCTCCATTGCCTTTGTGCAGAAAAAGAAGATTATTATGGCACTAATAAAGCCATTAAGCATCCAGCTGAAAATTCTACGCCAGCTAAAGAGAAGATTTTGCACGCCTTCTTGATACAACATAGGAAACTGCCATGTGAAATGCAAATAACATGGAATCAGCGAAGTAAACCATGAGCCCAAAGTAAAGTAAATCAATGCATACTGTGTTTTACTTCGCATGCAGCCAACAGAGGGCTTATTTACGTTCAATAATACATAGGTGACTTCTGTGTTCTAACATTATTATTACCGTTGGCAATGTGCATCCTAAGTCATCACATTAATATCATGATGCAACTGAAGCCACTATAAAAGGGTAAAAACTAAAAATCATTTAGGTCAAAATGTAGAATTAGGTCTAACTTAGATGTAATCATATAAGTTATGGCAAGGTTTTGTTAATTTTTTTTGTATGGTGGGTTCTCTCTGCTCTTCCATCAATAAGCACACTATATTACAAAGTAACGAAAAATTTCATTTCAAAATCATTATAAGAGAAACACAATAGCATGCCGTAGGGTGGATGAACTGTAAGCTTATCCTCAAACAGTACCGAGCAGACACATCCTGGTCAAAGACCCCAAGTGCAATCACGGGAAGTGAAGAAAAGAAGATATTATAGACCGACAAAAACCAGTCATTGTATGCAGCAGGTTTCCCAGAGAATGATGCATACACCTCATATAAGAATAGAGTAAAGCCAAATGTGATGTTTTTGTAGAAGAAGTAGCATATCTGTCGGAAGAAGAATGAAACAAGTTAATATAAGTACAAAAGGTGTCAGATTATCTTTTAATGTCAGTTTGGCAACTCGTAAAACTGGTTTAGTGGTATAGAATTGTTCAAGATAATCTAGTCATAAATTTCGGTTTTTTTGCGAGATTGCATTTCAAAACCAATTGGCATTAAGTGAAATAGGCTATGTCAAACTATTGAACACTTCCCTCCCCAATCCATGGATGGTTTCCAAAACAAACCAGACTATCAAAATAGGTGAGATTACCAGAGATTCTACCATTATTTCAAATTTCATCTAAAAACCAACAGACATTAAACAAAGTTGTCAACAAATACATCGGAATAGGTGATTACTAATATGGATATTAACCATATCATATTTCATCCAAAAACCAATAGCATAAAACAAAGTTGTTAACATATATGTAAGTTGCACTTCAAAAATTGAGACAAGTAATGTAGGACTTTCTAACAATTTTTAACCTAATTTTAGTTTAACAAGAATTTAGATAAATTAGCATTAAACCAAATTATTTAATAAAAAACCACCCTTGGATCTAGCTGCAGGAGAGAAATATGAATATGGAGGATTTAAGTAGTTATGTTTCAAATTGGCTTCCATAAGAACCAATTTTTTAAAATATGGGAAGTTATCAAACATTATTGTATTTAAAAAAAGTACCCACTACTCTTATTGTTTCAATGTTCCAAAAAATTCCCAAGGTCGATAGAATGTTGAGAAGTAGATATAAGAGTGACTATACCATTGATGAGATTCTTCGGTAACACCAATGTCCATGTACAAGAAGTAACCTTTCCAAATAATAGAACTGTGCAATTGCAATATCACTAGACATAACCGCCTGGGAGGAACAATAATAACAGAAGTATTTAAAGAGTCGTATGAAAAACCAAAACCAGTTAAACAAAGAGTTAATCAATTTGGTGAGTACCTGCATTCCTTCAACGCCACTGATTCCAATCCTTATATCTGCTTCTTGAAGCATTCCCACATCATTAGCTCCATCACCAATAGCTAATGTAGTTTTACCAGTAGCTGATTTTACCAGTCTAGTGACCTTTAAGAGAGGACCAATAAATAAAACATTACTTTTAAAAGCTAACCAGAATCATTATAAAGAATTAAAAAAAAATGAGGACATGATGTCAAATAAAGAGGAAGAAATACAATAGATTGAAACATACCAGTGCCTTCTGCTTTGGTGAGGAACGACAGCAGATAACAGATGCACAACGAGTTGCAAGGTCTAAAAACATTTTCTTCATATCCTCTAGGGCATAAGCAAGTGATTTTCCATCAATAATTAGAGCAAATGCTTGCTGAGAGGTTCCTCTGGAGGCAGTAATCTGCTGAGCAGCTTCAGATATTTGATGGCGGATATTTTCTCTACAAGCCTAATACATGAATCAGCATAAAAATATCAGAATCTCAACTTTTAACTCTGGTTTCATTAAGACACTTACACACCAAGCAATCCCTTCCCTTCAACTAGAATGGAGGAATCCATGAAATATAAATTTAAATCATCACCTATGTAAACCAATACAATGCATGCATCAGCTCTCTATGTAAGTAGACATTATTGCTATATTTTAATAAGATAACACATAGTATGCAAACTACATCATAAATAAAAACTAAAGATTGATATTTAAATTACCTTAACAATGGCCACCTTGTCTCCAGCCTTCTCCAATGCTTGAATTTCTGGACTTTCCAATTGAATTATAATTTGTTTCATTCCTTGTCTAAGTAAACTACAAGCAAAACTGAAATTGTATATTGATGTCAAACATCTAGCGAAGTAATTCTTATTCTGAAGCCAGCGTTAAAAGGGCATTATCACTATATTATACCCAATATTGATGGCAGTCTCCATTTTATCCCCAGTCAAAACCCAGATCTTAATTCCAGCTTGGGAAAGCTTGTCAATGCAATCAGGAACCTATAAAAAAGTATGAGAAGCAGTTCCAATATCATACCTTTGTATGTAAACATTGATTTTTCCTATCTCACCCCGTTTTGGAGCTTGTCCTCTACAGCAGTGGCACCAAGAAGGATTAAATTCCTCTCAATCTTTTCTGATACTTCCTCAATCAGTGTTTCCCGATCTTCACTAACTGAATTTTTCGCTTGAGAAAAATTATTATCAAACTCCTTGTATTGGTTTTCATCAAGTTCACGATATGCCAAAATTAGAGTCCTTAGACCTGCATCAGAATATTCATGCACATGTTCCAAGGTTTTCTCTTCAAACTCCCTCCCATCCTTGGCAAGCCTCTCAAACATGACATTGCATGAAAATAAGAAAAAAGGCAGGTCAATAGGCTTAAATTCAACCATAAGAACTCCAATATACGATGGTCACAGGTTAGTTTATCACAAACCTGTCAGCACCTTTACATAGTAACAAAATTCTCCCTTCTTCATCTTTCACAATCACTGACATTCGCTTCCTTGTGCTATTTAATTCTAAAACATTGAGAAGTTTGTATATCCTGAAGCATGAAATTAGTTAATGCATATCTGATACTCCGCATTACTTGGATTCCAAAAGGCAGCGGCAATAAACAATACTTGAATTAGGAATACTGCAGTTTAAAAATTTATTTTAGAAAATATCAAACAGAATTTGTAATCATGTATATTGTGAAATCTCTAATTTCAAACACCATCACAAAATAAATAAATATGCCTAGCGGAAAGATGGCTAGGCTAAAAAGTTTAACCATTTTTTTCATCCACATTAACAGTTAAGATGTGGAACAAATTAATTTGCCAAGTGGAAATATGGCTAGGCCAAAAAGTTTAACAATTTTTTTCATCCAAAAAACTATAAAGATGTCTCACATTGGTTGGAAATATAACCAAAATACTCGGTATAAGTCTTGGAAGATCATCCACCCTCAAGCTAGCTATTGGGGTCATTTAAGGCCTAGCCTATTTTAAATTTTAACTATAGGAATTTGTTTCCTCCATTTATATGTCGTAAAACAATATTAAAACATCTTTGGGGTCTAAAACACAACTTCACCTATAAGCAACATTGGTCTACTTGATCAGCCACTCTTAAGAGTTGAAAAATATCAATATCAGACTCCACATTCCTGTGCTGATATAATACTAAAACTTATTGAGTAAGATCAGCAGTAGAAATAACAGTTTTCTACTTTCAAGTACTTTTTATTGTAATTAGCTGCTGTTATAACAAGACTTAATAATATGTGATTGCAAGTGCCTCTTTCAGTGAGAATACAATGATAAACTTCTAATGTTGATTAGCAAGTACTTTTTATTGTAATTAGCTGCTGTTATAACAAGACTTAATAATATGTGATTGCAAGTGCCTCTTTGTGAGAATACAATGATAAGCTTCTAATGTTGATTAGCAAGTACTTTTTATTGTAATTAGTTGCTGTTATAACAAGACTTATTAATATGTGATTGCAAGTGTAGACAAACAAGTATCTAAATAAAACACTCTGTATATTATCACTTGATCTGTTTGCAATAAGTGATGCATGGTCAATTTATAGGCCCTTTGGATATGGCCTCTCAACTACATTCATTTAATACAACTACTACCTTTCAACTACATACATTCAATACAACAACTAACTCTCAACTACTACCTCTATAACCACTACCTCTCAACTACATGCATTTAATGTTTACCTAACAAAATCCCCCCATAAACTTAAATGTTTTTCTTGTCCTTCATTCCAAGCATCTTCTTGTTGTTCTCGAACAGAGTGGTTGACAGTGGTTTCGTGAACATATCTGCAGCTTGTGTTCGGGTTCCGACGTGCTCTAACTCCACATTTCCTTTTTTCACTTGTTCTCGGATGAAGTGAAACCGAACATCAATATGTTTGCTTCTCTCATGATTGACCGGATTCTTTGCCAATTCAATGGCCGACTTGTTATCAACTCGAATCACAGTCCCTCTTTCTTGCTTCAACTCCAGCTTGCTTAGAAGGTTTATAAGCCAAACTGCATGACAGATACTCCAGGATGCTGCAACGTACTCGGCTTCACAAGTTGACAACGTTACAATGGGCTGTTTTTTTGAAAGCCAGGTGAATGTTGTGTTTCTCATGAAGAATACATATCCAGACGTGTTTTTCTGGTCATCAACATCTCCACACCAGTCACTATCCGAGTAGCCTACTAGTCGATAATCATCCGTCCTAGTATACATTAGGCCAAGTGACACTGTTCCTCTCACATACCTTAGAATTCTCTTTAGTGCCTTCCAATGAGTATACCTTGGCTCCTCCATATATCGACTTGCTATTCCAACACTTAACATTAAATCTGGTCTGGTATTTGTAAGATACCTAAGACTTCCAATCAGACTTCAGTATTTGCTCGCATCAACTCGGTCTCCATCTGCATACTTAGAAAGTTTTGTACCAGGTTCCATAGGGGTGGAAACCGGGTTGCAACTTGTCATCTTAAACTTCTTCAAGATCTCCTCAGCATACCTTTCCTGCGACACAAAGATGCCATCCTTTCCCTGAACAACTTCTAAGCCAAGAAAATACTTCATAAGACCCAAGTCAGTCATCTCAAACTCCTTCTTCATCACTTCTTTAAACTCTTCAATTAGCTCGGCATTATTTCCCATGAAGATAAGATCATCAACATATAGGGCAACAAACATCACATCTTCTCCTTTCTTCTTTATGTATAGAGCATGTTCATAAGGACACTACTCATATCCATTCCTTTTGAAGTAAGTGTCAATTCTTTCATTCCATGCTCGTGGAGCTTGTTTCAAGCCATAAAGTGCCTTCTTCAATCTCAGCACTTTCTTCTCTTCTCCTCTTCGCATGTATCCGAGTGGCTGTTCAACATATACTTCCTCCTCCAAGATTCCATTCAGAAATGCCGACTTCACGTCCATCTGCAAGATTGTCCATCTGTGTTGAGCTGCTAAGGAAATCAGCAACCTAATTGTTTCCATTCTCGTCACTGGGGTGAATATTTCGTCATAGTCTATTCCTTCTTTCTGCTTGTACCCTTTCACTACAAGTCGAGCTTTGTATCGTTCAACTTCTCCTTCAGCATTTGTCTTCTTCTTGTACACCCACTTTACGCTGATAGGTCGTGCTCCTTTGGGCAAATCAGTTAGCTCCCATGTGTTGTTGCGTTCTATTGCTCCGATCTCCTCGTCCATTGCCTTTCTCCACCTTTTCTCCTGCACGGCCTCTTCAAAACTTAAGTCTTCTGAATCTGCCAAGAGACATACAACATGCACTTTGTCAGTGGAGTTGTATATTGTTGCAGGTAGCATCAATTGTCCTGTGACGAAGGTCAGGTGGGCCGAGTCACAATTGAATCGTGGCGCTTGGGCTGTTAAAGTAAAAAGAGTTGCGCTCTGACTAATGGCTATAGCTTTTGGCCTAGTGGTAAGCGCTCGATCCTAACAATTGGTATCAGAGCCAAGGTCACGAGTTCGATTCCTGGTGGGCAATTGTTGAGGGGGAGATTGTTGCAGGTTGCACAATTGTCCCGTGGCAGAGGCCGGGTGGGCCAAGTCACAATCCAAGAGTGGGATACCTTGTAGGACAATTGCTGAGGGGGAGATTGTTGCAGGTAGCATCAATTGTCCTGTGACGAAGGTCAGGTGGGCCGAGTCACAATTGAATCGTGGCGCTTGGGCTGTTAAAGTAAAAAGAGTTGCGCTCTGACTAATGGCTATAGCTTTTGGCCTAGTGGTAAGCGCTCGATCCTAACATATATATCTTGTAAACTTCGCGCTCTGGGTTGTAGAGGTTCATCTTCTTCATCAGAAGTCTCATGATCTCTCACAGTATGTGGTGTATCAACTTCCGAGCTTCTACTTCCTATGGACTCCTTCTCTGGGTTGTTCCAACTCCACTCGCTTTCTTCATCAATTTGAACATCTCAGCTCATGATGACCTTCTTAGTTATTGGGTTAAACAACCTGTACGCCTTGGTTTTTTCATCGTACCCAATAAACACGTACTTTTTGCTTCTATCTTCGAGCTTGGTCCTCTGTTGAGCTGGAACATGACCATAAGCTATGCTACCGAACACTTTAAGGTGAGACACACTCGGTTTTCTTCCACTCCAAACTTCTTGCGGTGTCTTCTCGTTCAGACTTAGCATGTGGACATCTATTTTGCACATAGATGGCACATTGCACTCGCTTCGCCCGAACTCCTTTGGCACGTTTTTGCTTCTCAACATTGTTCGAACCATGTCAAGAATGGTTCGATTCTTCCTCTCGGCAACTCCGTTTTGTTGGGGTGAGTATGGTGCTGTCAGAAATCTTCTTATCCCTTACTCCTCACAATACTTCATGAGTTCGGATGAAATGAACTCGCCTCCTCGATCAGACCTAACAGATTTGATAGGCATGTCAGTCTCTTTCTCAACCATTGCTTTAAATCTCTTGAACACCTCAAACACCTCGGATTTCTCCTTCAAAAAATATACCCAGGTTTTTCTTGAAAAATCATCTATAAAAGAAATGAAATACCTTTTCCCACTGAAGGACTCAGGGGTAATCGGTCCACAAATATCTGTGTGAATCAATCCGAGTTGTTCCTTTGCACGGTACTCGGCCGTCCTCGGAAATGAGGTCCTCGGATGCTTCCCGAGCACACACTCTTCACATAATTTCTTTTCAAATTTCATAGACGGGAGTCCTCGCACCATCTCTTTCTTTACCAACTCGGTCAGTCCGCCAAAATGCAAGTGACCAAATCGAAAGTGCCACATCATTGCTTCATCCTTCACGTCAAGTTTCAAACACCTCTCTTGGACTATCTTCAAGTCCAACTTGTACATTCTGTTCTTCTTCATTTCTACTCGGGCAATCAAACGATCCGACTTGTCCTTCAGGTATAGTACTCGGTCTTTCATCAGAACCGAGTAGCCTTTCTCCATCAGCTGACCCATACTCAATATGTTGCTTTTGAGATCGGGTACATAGTACACGTCTCTGATTTCTCCAACTCGGCTATTCTTCTGCAGGTACCAGATTGTACCTCTGCCTTTTACTGCCACCTTTGATGCATCTCCAAATGACACATGTCCGACCTCAACTTTAGTGAGCTCCTTAAAAAGGTTTTCGTCCCTGCACATGTGGTTACTTGCTCCTGTATCAAGATACCAAACCGAGTTGTCAGAACAGCTCGGACTTAGCTCGACATCCGAACTTCTTGACATCATCAATACTCCTTCTTCCTCAGTGTCCTCAGAGAGGAGGTTTGTCTCCTTCTTCCTCTCAGATCGGCAGTCCTTCGCGAAATGCCCAACCTTCCTACAATTATAACGTTTGATACCTGAATAACAGTCCTAAGCAAAATGACCGTACTTCCCACATTTGAAGCACTCAACTCCGGAATTGCTTGACTGACCACCTCGGTCTCTACCGTCACGACCTCTACCTTGTCTTCGGCCACGTCAGTTTTGTTGACTGATTGACTCCTTGCCTCTTTCATATTCTCCTCTGCCTCTACCACCTCGGCCTTGAGTGTTCTGAGCATAAGGAACCTTCTTCTCCTTTAAGGTTGCCTTTGCTTGGAGTGCTTGATCAAGGGACTCCTCTTTCTTCTTCCTTCTCCGCTGCTCATGCGCTTCAAGCGACCCGGCAAGCTCTTCCACCGAGAGCACGGACAAGTCCTTGGACTCTTCTATTGCACAAACGATATTCTCAAAATCGTCAGTTAACGACCTTAAGATTTTCTCCACCACTCGGCAAGTGGGCAGCGTCTCTCCATTTCTTCCGAGTTGATTCACCACGGTCTCAACACGGGAGATGTACTCGGCAACCCCTTCGACCTCTTTCATCCTCATGCTTTCAAGCTCGCCTCTAAGAGTTTGAAGCATGACTTGTTTCACGCGATTATCCCCTTTATATGCCTTCTCCAGAATATCTCACGCTTCTTTTGAAGATTTAGCATTTGCTATCTTCTCAAAGCCGGACTCATCAATAGCTCGGTACAGTACGTACAAAGCCGTTTTGTCCTTTACTCGTGTTGCTCTCAATGCAGCAAGCTGAGCAATCGTCTGCTCCTCAATATTTTCTGGTTCTTGGTGCCCATTTTCGACCACATCCCATACTTCTTGGGAACCAAGGAGAGCCTTCATTTGCAGGCTCCAGTTATCATAGCTTACGCCTTTTGATAACTTTGGTAGGGGCATGCTGTTAGCTAAGTTGGCCATCTCAAACAAACTCTCTAACTCTCAAACACTCTCTCTAACGCACTCAGACACTCAGGCTCTTAAGCTCTGATGCCAATTTGTAGACAAACAAGTATCTAAATAAAACACTCTGTATATTATCACTTGATCTGTTTGCAATGAGTGATGCATGGTCAATTTATAGGCCCTTTTGATATGGTCTCTCAACTACATTCATTTAATACAACTACTACCTTTCAACTACGTACATTTAATACAACAACTAACTCTCAACTACTACCTCTATAACCACTACCTCTCAACTACATGCATTTAATGTTTACCTAAGAGGTGCCTCTTTCAGTGAGAATACAATGATAAACTTCTAATGTTGATTAGCAATGAAAGATGCAGTATTAAAAAACTGAAGTTATTAACGAAACAAAGCAACTAAGAAAAACTGATCTTTCAATTTTGTCACCAGAAACTGGATTCAATTCATATATTGATAAACTAGTCCTGAGTCCTTTTATAGAATTTGAAACCAATTTCTCTCGCTGCAATCACAAATGCCAATTCATCTGGGGATTCACTTTCATATGAGACATGTCCTGTATCTTCATCAACTTCTGGTAGGGCTGTATGGCAGATTGCCAATAAGTGAAAAAAATTCTTAATAACATTAGCATAAGGCTCATTGACCCATTTTCCATTCATTATCCTTTCATCTGTAAAGTTAAATCCTTTGATGGGAACATTTCTGACAGGAGAATCCCTTGTGTCGTCAATCAAAGTAGAACCATTTTTGCTATCCAATGACCTCTCAACCTCTGTAACTCCACGGCCATAAGCTACCCCAGCAATGGAACATTTGATGAACTCCATCGTGTTGCAGGTCAGAGTTCCAGTTTTATCAGAAAGTATTGTATCAACTTGACCAAATTCCTCATTCAAGTTTGAAGTTCGGGCATAAGAAGGTTTGTCTGCATCTTCATAGTACATATGGATATCTTGATTTATGAAGATGCTCTGAAGGACTTTAACAATTTCTATTGAAACATACAATGAGATGGGAATGAAGAAACCATATAACATTAAGGCTCTAAAAAAATGAAATATAGCAGCAGCTAGTGCTCTTTTAGGATCAAAGAAAATTGTAGAGTCGTCTGGTCTTAGGTACCACCTTTTCATCAATCCATTGTCCAAGTCATCTTTAGTTGTGATGCCAAAGAAAATCGATCCAACAAATGCCATTAGAAACACAATACAAAACATGAAGTAGACAACCCTATCCATCTTCTTCTCAACCTTGGTTCTCTTTGAAGGAGCATCAGTGGAATTCTGAATGACCTTTGTGTCATGACCAGTGAAGATGACAGCTCCAAATATGTAGTCTGTGTTACGAAGTTTAGAGTCTCTCAGAAGAAGTTGCAGGGGAGAAATTTGCATTTGGGTCTTCACATTTGGGTCTTCACATTTGATTGCTGCTTGAAAATCACTGAATTGAAAGTCCTCATGTAAGGAAGAAGTTACTTCCAACCCTTGTTTTAATTTCAAATTTGTCTCCCCATCCAAGTTCATGGTCTCAACATAGCAGAATGCATCCTCGTAACTGGAAGAAAGCAGTAGGAGGTCTGCAGGAAAGAATTCGTCCTTCATTATCTTCACTATATGCCCCACCTTCAGATTCTTCCACTCAGTATATTCAAAGGTTCCTTGCCCTGTATGCACTTTAACTCTTCTGCTATTGACCTCAATATCCTGCAGCGGAATTCCACTGACTAGGTTATAAACTCTAATAATGCTAAACAATTAGCACTTTATTTTTTCTTAAAATAACTAGTGGTATATTACTTTAATTTCAAATAGATATTTAATTAAAAAAATTGAAAATCACAATCATATTAGCATAGACAACAGGACTTAAAATGTGAGAAAAATTTTGGCAGGAAAATTTTTATAGATAATATTTTAGGGCTTTCTTTTTTTTTTTTTCTCCACTGTAATTGTATAAAATTATCAAGTTTCAACTCCGGTATTAAACTTAATCAGGGAGATAGAATTGACAACTACATCCTTTTTAGGCAAGACATAATAAGGATCTGAACAAAATAGTTGGAATTTTCCATAAACCAACAGCAATCCCTCCGTCTTTCAATAAATAAAATAGAAAAATATAATAAATATCATATAAACTAATATTATCTCAAAATAATATAAAAAAACATATTTTCTACTTTATCAATATATTTTATTTTATTTGATTTTAGAAAAATTTGAATTTATTTTTTAATAACTAATAAAAATAAATGAACTCAAAATTAATCATTATTTAGTGATAATTACTTATTTAAATTTTCAATGTCCAACTTCCAACTACACTATCATAAGATTTTCATAAATAAAATTAAAAAAAAAATTAAAACTATTAAATAATATAAATATAAAATAATAAAGAAAGTTAATACATAATTAATTTTTTTTTAATAAAAATAAATAAATAAATATAAAAGAGAACTAATATATAATTAAAAATAAATATATAATAAAATCAATACATATATAATATGTAAATAAAAATAAAATAAATAAAATAAGATTAGAAACATCTTATTTAATAAATATATAAATGAAATAAATAAATAAAATTATAGATATTTCATTTCCTTATTTTATTAATTTCATATGATAAATCAAAATTTTATCAAAATTGTATATATAATTTTTTTCTTCTTTTTCTCTCTTTCTCTTTTTATTTTCTTTCTTCTTTTTTCCCCTCCTTTCCTTTTTCTCTCCCTCCTCGACCTCTTGAATTTCTTTTATACTTAAATTTCATTTATATTTTCCTTTATATTAAATAGAGATGACAAAACGGTCGATCTAGTCCCACCTTTAGCCCACCAAAAACTGGGCAGGGCGGGTCGACCTATTATAGTCATGACTGGCTATAGATCTTAGCTCGCCCGTCAAAGGGCGGATTAGCGGCTGACCCACCATAATTTAGAAAAAAATAATTTATTTTTTAAAATAATTTATTTTAATAAATTTAATAATAAGATTATTATTTGTTTATCAATAATTAAATATATATATATATATATATATATTATTTCAATTTAATAATATAAATCAATACATTGTTTTATGAAATTATAATTAGAACAATAATAAAATTTACATAATAATAAATAATAACAAATATATATATATATATATATAATGTTAAAACTTATAAAATTTATATTTTTTATGTTGAAAAATACCTATATCTTTTTTATTTGATAAAACTTCACATTATTCTTGGTTGAGTATTTCTTACACCTTTAATTCAAGTCATAAGGATAAAAATAATCAGTGTTTAGGATGAACAAGGAGAACAGGAGAGAGAAAGTTGTGTTTCAATAAAGAGAATATTTGTTGTGAGAGTAAACTTTTTTAATTCTCTTTTTAAAATTTTTAATTTTATATATTATCTTTATAATTAATTTTATTACAATAAAAAATTATTTTTTTATTAATTAGGCGGTGCGCAGGCTGGCCCGCCAGTCCCGCGAGTTGGCCCGATAGGTTGCGGGCTTGGCGGTGCGGGCCAAAACGGACTGGTGGGCTAAAAACACCAACTCGCCCGCCATATTATGGCGGTCGTGCAGGCTGGCCCGCCGAGCTTGACTCGTTTTGTTATCCCTAATATTAAATGTATGTTATTATCTCTTTTTTCATCTTATCTTTTCCTTTTTTTCAATTAATTAATTATTTTTTAAATTATTAATTAATTTTATAATTCTTATATACATACATATATGTATATTATTTTTTATTTTTTAATAATTAATTTTTTCATAACATTTATATATGTTGAATATAGAAGAAATAAAGTTTGAGATTAATCTCCCTTGTGTATAAATCACACATAGGGTAGTCTATTTATAGTAGAGATACAACTAAAAGAGTAATCGAAAGTAACAGAATAAACCGAAGATATTGTTTGATATTATGGTTAACAATATCTAACAATATCTTAACAATATCAAATAATATCTAAACAATATCTAACACTCCCCCTCAAGCTGGAGCATACAAATCGTATGTGTCAAACTTGTTACAAATATAATCAATTCTAGGACCCCGTAAAGATTTAGTAAAAATATCTGCTAACTGATCACTTGAGTTAACAAACTCAGTCTTGATGTCTCCAAACATAATCTTTTCTCGAATGAAATGACAGTCAATCTTAATGTGTTTGTTCCTCTCATGAAAGACAAGATTAGAACTAATATGAAGAGCAGTCTGATTATCACACACAAGTGACATTTGAGTGACATCTCCAAATTGTAACTCTCTAAGCAATTGCTTGAGTCAAACAAGTTCACAGGCAGCTGAGGTCATAGCTCTATATTCTGCTTCTACACTAGATCTTGTCACAACATTCTGTTTCTTACTTTTCCATGAGACCAAGTTACCACCAATGGAGACACAATATCCAGATGTAGATCTTATATCCGAAGGAGATCCTGCCCAATCAGCATCTGAGTAGCAAACAACTCTTGTATGGTTATTAGAATCATATAACAATCCTTTTCCAGGAGATCCTTTAATATACTTTAAGATACGAATGACTGCATCCCAATGATCTTCACATGGGGAATTAAGAAATGGGCTTACCACACTGACTGCAAAGGAAATGTCAAGACAAGTAACTGTAAGATAATTCAATTTTCCAACCAGTCTTCTATACTGCTCACGATCAGGTATAAGCTCCCCCTGATTTGGTAGAAGTTTAGTATTGGGATCTATGGGTATATCAACAGACTTTGAATTCATCAACCCAGTTTCCTCCAAAATATCCATGACATACTTCCTCTGAGATATAACAATACCATCATTGGACTGTATCACCTCAATACCCAAGAAATATCTAAGTTTGTCAAGATCTTTGGTCTAAAAATGGTGACATAGATGTTGTTTCAACTGAGAGATGTCATGGTTGTCACTACCTATAAGAACGATGTCATCAACATATACTATCAAGTAAACATATCCAGTACTTGAGTGTCGATAAATGACAGAGTGATCTGCTTCACACCGAGTCATATAAAATTGTTGAACAACTTTGCTAAACTTTCCAAACCAGGCCCTAGGAAACTATTTTAGGCCATATAGGGATTTGCGAAGACGACATACCATCCCAGAAGACTCCCCCTGAGCAACAAACCCAGGAGGTTGCTCCATATAGATTTCTTCTTGCAAATCACCATTAAGGAAAACATTTTTAACATCTAGTTGATAAAGAGGTCATTGTTGAAGAGTGACCATGGCAATAAATAACGAACAGAAGTCATCTTTGCCACGGGGGAAGGAGGCAATAACTCATTGAACTCATGAAAAAGAACATGAATTTTGCCCATATAATCAGTCATAGAATCTTGATGTTTAGAGGCAATAACATCTACAAATTTAGAACAAACATCATAGAGAAGTTGAGTATCATTGGTGTATAATAACTTGACATGTTCCCAGATTTTGGCACATGTTTCGTAGGAACGAAAAATTTGTTTTAATGAAGGATCAAGAGTACCCTTGAGAACCACACATAATTGAGCATCAATGGTGTCCCAACGGTCTTCCTCACTAGGATTGAGAGTAGGTGCTCTCGGGGCAAGATGATCAAGATACTTCTGACTCTTAAGCCATAATCTGACGTCTGATGACCATGTGGCATAATTAGGGCCAGTTAACTTGTCAATGGATAAGTGCACATTAACTTAGTTAGTGTAGATGGAAGGATCAGACGCAGTATTGACAAAATTGAAAGTAATAAAAGGAGCGGAAGAAGTCATAAAGGGCAGAGGCGGCAGAGGCGATAGTGACAGCGACGTGAACCAGTACACTAGGTAAGTTCCCAGGAAAGAGAGGTGGGTCACTAATGGGCACGTTTAAATACAAGTCTTTCTTTGTCAGAACCTTCCTAGACATGCACTTTCACACTATCAAATAGTATCCAGTAACAAAAATAACTTTTTTCTGATGTGGAAGATCAGTTTAACCGACAACGATAGCGGCAGTGGTGGCGGCTTCAACAGTGGTTAAAGGCGAAAAAAATTTCAAAATAACCTTAAACTCTAGATACCATGTTGAATATAGAAGAAATAGAGTTTGAGATTAATCTCCATGGCCGCTCTTCAACAATGGCCTCTTAATCAACAAGATGTTAAAAATGTTTTCCTCAATGGTGATTTGCAAGAAGAAATCTATATGGAGCAACCTCCTGGGTTTGTTGCTCAGGGGGAGTCTTCTGGGATGGTATGTCGTCTTCCGGTTATTGTCATGGTCCAAAAGTTGCCCTTTAGTTGGGTCAAAAGTATCATTTGCCTGGTCCGGCAGGCTTCGTTGGAGGAGGCGTGTTGAAAGTCCCACATCGCCTACCTCATGTCATTTGGTATGGTTTAAATACATGTTAGGCTACTCCACATATTGTCAATTGGTTTTATGTTGGAACCTTAACATGGTATCAGAGCCAAAACCTAACATATTTCCGGTTATTGTCATAGGCCAAAAGTTTCCCTTTGGTTGGGTCAAAAGTACCCTTCGTTTGGTCCGACAGACTTCGTTGAAGGGGACATGTTGAAAGTCCCACATCATCTACCTTATGTCATTTGGTA